AACGAACATCTCTCTTCTGATGAAAACAAAACCCTCTTTCAGAATGTCCAAAAATTTATTACACAATCGAAGCGCTTTTTGTAAGAATTACTATCAGTGTGAATAAACTTGGTCTTTCCGTACGCTCATATTTCCTTACATGTTAATCTTAATTATTAAACTCCGATATATATATTCAATCTTATCCTGTCACTTGTATCAATTTCGGCCCGATAACAAGGTGCCGTATATTTTTACTGATCTACGGCACTTGATCACGTGGTATGCATGTTTGCCGGACTACTTTTCAAGAAAAAATATAAAAACTGTCGTTAAATCTTCTGTGTGTAGAATAACAAGTTTTTGAAACGTTGATAAAACTTTGTTTGTTTATTTTATTTCACTCTATAATTAAAGGTTGTTTGCCTAATAAAATTCTTTAAAAAAACGGTGACAGGATAAATAGAATAATAGATTGGTGCCGTGGATGGAGAAAGTTTATCTGGCTCTGCTCCGGAATTTATTGGGTTCGCCTTCGGCTCACCCAATAAATTCCTCCGCCTCGCCAGATAAACTTTCTACATCCACGGCACCAACCTATTATTCTCTATATACCTTTCCTTACATTCTTCCTTTCTTTTAGCATTTCACCATAATCTACCTTAGTTTTTCTATAGTGATAATTCAACAATCAATTATTCTCTTATTCTTTGTTGTACATTCAAAGAGCTTACATCTAACCGCAACATTTTTGTATCTTTATCTTTAAAATTATTTTTTCTGGAGAAGGGGAAATTATAAAGTATTTTTTACTTGTTTCCAAACCAGTCTGAATTACTTGTTGGGGCAATTTTGAAAAAATTTTTTTGACAATTTATTGAACATAAAGTTTTAAAACAAAAACCCTCAATATGGGTATTTTACAATGGGAAAAAACACCTTTTAAATTTTAAAGTGTTTTGTACAAATTTGAAATATTTTGGAAAAGAAAAATTAAAAAAAGGCAAATTTTTTGTAGGGGCCGATCTTTATTACTTTTTTAGATTCAATTTTCAATTAGTAATATAAACAAACAAAAACAACATACGTCAGAAGTGAAGCTGACGTCAAATAGCGCGATAACACGTTACATAGATTATAGCGTAAATTTATGTGGTTATCTTGCGTACAATATTGATAACATTGGATTCAACAATGCCTTTTGGAAGCGTCACGTGGTGCAAAAACAGAAAGTGTGTGCGTTATATATTCACAAAGTGTAAAACTAATAGGAAATACGTGTAAATTATATCATTATTTATAGTTAAAAATGTCCGACATGTTATATGTCTCAGTATAAACGGTTGTAACGTACCGAGAGGGTTATATGGCAAACATCTTGCTTACGGAACGTCGGTGGTTCTACTCAGGTGCCCGTTCGTGCCTGAATTATGCATGGAAGGGCACATGACGTCTTCCTCCACCAGTAAAGCTGGAGCGTCGCGATATGACCTATACTGCAAGGGGCAGGACGTGAAGTGGTTGCACACTTGGTTCAAGCGAGCGAATTGGTTGCAAACTTGACAAAATGGCGAAAACGGCGTGATTTTTTGAAACGGGTGAACGAGTTTTTGCCAGGCAAGTGGGTTTCTTTGTTATTTTGAAGTTCATTAGTATGTCTATTCCATAATGCAATATATATGCCACACTCGGTTAAAGGTTTCAGCATCCTAGATTCTGTTTTGACGAAGTTATTGAAGATATAAACTGATCATGTAGATATTTTGAAATTTGACATATGACTGTTCTGGCCGGTTTTTCTCCTAATTTATTCAAATTTGGAAGTTTTGAACTGCATTTAACAATAACAAAATATGTTTCTGTCAATGCTGTACAAACGGTTTAGTTCGCAAGACCGAAGATTACGTTCAATACACAAAAATATCTTGTTCAAGCACATTTTGGTTGCAGACTTATACTTCAAGCATTTTTGGTTGCAAACTTATTCTTATTCTATTGAAATCCATAGTAAAACTTTGCAAAAGGAGTGTAGAACGTTATATCTATTAACCTATTTTCAATGGCAATTATTGACATTTATGTTCTGTTACTTCTTTTTGTTATAAATGTTATTTATACTTTCTTCTTTTACAACAATTATGCACTTTATGTTTCAAATTACATGGTTCTCAGTTCAATACTATAATCATCAGTAAAAGCCTGCAAACAAAATAATAGCATATAGAAAAATATTTATTGATACTTCAATTCTAAAATATGTCATCATATGTAAAATGCAAATGAAAACTACATACAAAACAAACGTATACATGTGAGAGTACTGTTTATTTAAGTGAATTATGTTCATCATAAACATAAGGACATGTGCACACATACGATGTTATTCGGCCAAATTTCCAAAGTTTTTCAAAACCACAAGAAATTTTAATTTGTTTGTTTCGTATGTAAAGATCAGCAGTTGCTTTAGACATGTACTTAAAATGTTTTTACAAACCAAAAGTTAAAATGACGTACATGCTTGTTTACAATATTTCGGATTTGATGTACATCATATGTCCATTGGTATTCTAAAGATGATTTTGATTATTAGATCATAATATAAATGATATACGATTGGTTATTTACATTAACTGTTATGTGACAAAACTACTTAAAGTCATTGTTCGAGTTAAGGAATTTGGAAAATTTTTCGATTGGTCAATAATAAGGAACAATTTAAAGAAACATATGTGAATAATGCCCTTGTGTCAATGTTAATATAGTTTTTATATACTATATAATCAATTTTATTTCAAATGTCGTTTGTTGCTATTTTTTCTTCTTTTCCTTTACAGTTAGTCATGCAAAGATATAAAAAAAGTCCTAAGACTTTGTAAAAAGAAAAGGAGTATATCGAGGAGAAAAATTGATGAAGATAAACACAACTGAACTTTAATTTAGCATACATTGTATTGTGTTATATATCTATTTGAAAGACCCTGTGTTAGGATATATCTGCACGCATGCACATTTTTTATATATATTTCTTATTAGATGAACCGGTATAATTGCCATAATATTGCTAATTATTTAAAAAAAAAATGATAAGTTATTCCTCGCTAAAAATATGCATGCCACATTATTGACACAAAAGTTTGCAACCAAAAATGCTTGAAGTATAAGTCTGCAACCAAAATGTGCTTGAACAAGATATTTTTGTGTATTGAACGTTATCTTCGGACTTGCGAACTAAACCGTTTGTACAGCATTGACAAAAACATATTTTGTTATTGTTAAATGCAGTTTAAAACTTCCAAATTTAAATAAATTAGGAGAAAACCCGGCCAGAACAGTCATATGTCAAATTTCAAAAAATCTACATGATCAGTTTATATCTTCAATAACTTCGTCAAAACAGAATCTAGGATGCTGAAACCTTTAACCGAGTGTGGCATATATATTGCATTATGGAATAGACATACTAATGAACTTCAAAATAACAAAGAAACCCACTTGCCTGGCAAAAACTCGTTCACCCGTTTCAAAAATTCACGCCGTTTTCGCCATTTTGTCAAGTTTGCAACCAATTCGCTCGCTTGAACCAAGTGTGCAACCACTTCACGTCCTGCCCCTTGTACTGTGCCGATGTGACGTAAAACCCAATCAAAGAAACAAACAAATATGGCAAACAACCGTTACTGCCGGATAAAATAGCAGATATCTCCATTACAAATGCATTTTACTGTTACATCTGACAACGGAATTTATAACTTCATAACTTCAGAAATTGACAGCAGTCGTGTATATATATATATCATACAATCTTCACGATTTCCAATGAAAAACCTGCAGTATTGTAACAGTCACATGGAAACAAGCGATTGTATTGTGTAACCTGGTTATCTGAATAAACTCAAACACAATAAGTCAACAGTGTTTATTCAATTGTCATTCAGTTTAATTATTGTTCTTTACTTAAATAGTGCATTTACAGTAAGTTCAACATTTATTTATAATCAAAAGTTCAAAGTCAAACATATTAGAAAATAAGTTATAACTGCGTACCAAAATTAAGTGAGTGCCAGCTAACATTAATCAAAGCACAGAAGGCGCTGAATTTGTTTGGGTCTCAGAATGTCAGAAAGGTTAAGGTTGTGAGATTATAAAACAATTTGTTTTTGTATAGTGCCACCAATGTTTTCCAGCGTTTTAATTGTAGTAGATTGGCTATAAGACTTATTGCAACACTGATATTCGATCCAATGTTTATTTGACTTAAACAATTTGAAAAAAAATGAGTTGCCTTAACTAGGAATTGACCTCCAGACCTCTCGCTTCCTAAGCGAGCGCGCAAACCCTCGGCCACGGTGGATTTACATGTTAACGGCCTGAAAAAAACAACATATTATTCTAGTTATGGTTTGTAACGACGCTAACTGTTGTTTAAATAATCATGGCGCATACTATAAGCATGTATATCTATAAAGAATAAAACAATATTAGAAATCTTCGACTTTTCGGGAATTATTTTGCTTGAAAATTAATCCGCCTGTCATGTGACCATATTTACGCAGTGATCTCCCCTAAATGTTTCGGCCTAAGTGTTACATATAAAGGGAAGTAACCGCTTCAAAAAAGCGGACTACTTTCGGCACTTGCAATTAACAGCATTAGAGTTTAAAATTTCGCTACCATTATTTGTTTGGTCTGACGACCAAAACAAATAAAAACGACACTGAAATACTAGTCCGCTCCCTGAGTATTTATAGGATAAACAACAATGTTTTTGTATATTAAAAGTGAATTAATTAATTCAAATTCCCCGCTTTATGACAGGTAACAAATACTGGAGTTAAACTGGAGTTAAAAGAGTTCCTTAGTGTTCATACAGTTGCATCTAGTTATATTTTTTGTAAACGTTATATAGCAATACGTGGAATTTTCCGATGTACTCGAGTTTAAACAATTTATCCAAATAAATGCGTTTGTCGCCAAACCTCACCTGTTTATATTAAAGCAATGTATAATTTTACCTTCTACAGATTCCTTAGGTCATGTAGGTACTGGAACAAGAAGCGTTGGACACGAAAGTTTGGATATGTTTCATGGTAAAACTTATATAGTATGCTTATGTTTGAATTTCATTTTAAGTAAAATTTCATGCAAAAAATTCAGTTCATCATTATAGGTACTGGAACAAGAAGCGTTGGACACGAAAGTTTGGATATGTTTCATGGTAAAACTTATATAGTATGCTTATGTTTGAATTTCATTTTAAGTAAAATTTCATGCAAAAAATTCAGTTCATCATTATATGCATTGAACGTTATTTAATTCTACTCAAAGCTAAAAATCTATAGAGTCAGTACAACTGCAGGACACATACAAATATATAGGTACTATCTATAAAAAATCATTTTCCTCATCATTTCTAAGCGTACGGGAATTTTCTCTTTTAGTTATTAATTATCATTAATCAAAAATCAATACATTTTCTTGCATATTACTTTTAACCATCTCGACCTATATTGTTAAAATTGTTAAAAATGTAAAAAAAAAAGGGTAAATTCACAACACGAACCAAGCAGGTTAGTTTTATATGAGTTTTATATATATTCCTGTATAGTCTCGAATCAATCGAAATTATTTTTTTATGGCAAACAAAAACTTTGTATGTAAATATACATTATCAATATTTTAGGAATATCAGGATGTTTCTACAAGAATCAGATGTATCAAGAAGGGGCCTCCTGGAATGATGGTTGTAACTACTCATGTCGCTGTCTTGATGAAAGGTCTGGACTGTACCATTGTAAACGCACTGTAAGTTAATCTATTTGTTATTTTTTACGCGCGGATTCATAGGTGATGTATAAAGGGCGTCATTAGACACACTCCTGTTTCTGGCTAGTTTCGAATTTAAACCAAAGTATTTTAGCAGAGAGAGAAAATCACGAAAAAAGCTACCGAAAACAAGCAACATTTTGACAAATGATTTCGGCTTGATTAAGAGGTTAATACATGACAGGAGAGGGCTGGAAGGTGATAATCGGTCCGCAAAATAAATAATGGAAAACCAAAGGCGATTTTACGAAAGACCGGTGGTGACATTTCACGTTCACGAATTCATGATTTCAAGATTTTAAATTTCATTACTTTTAGAGTGAAATGTTGAATTTTTAAATCGTGAATTCATGAATTCATAATTTCATAATTTCACGATTTCTTTTAAAAACCTGAATAAATGAAATAATGAAATCGTGAAATCATGAATTCACGAATTCACGATTTCATTTTTTAAAGTGAAATCGTGAAATAATGCAATAGCGAATTTATGAATTCGCGATTTCATAATTTCACTATTTCTCTTAAAAAACCTGAATAAATGAAATAATGAAATCGTGAATTCGTGAATTCATGAATTCACGATTTCATTTTTTTAAAGTGAAATCGTGAAATTATGAATTCGTGAATTCATGAATTCACGAATTCACAATTTCATCTGCACAGTTGTGACGTCACGATGTCAAGTCTGACACGACGCTTGAGCATGCGCTTAGGGCCTTTTCCGTTCAGAGTAAAGATGGCGAGAGTTACAGGAGTTCCAATTCATTTTTTTTTAAAGTAAGTACTCTTCCTTTAGATTTAAGTTTATTTGACACTATATTTTTCATAATCATGCATAAATGTACATAAGCTTTTTCAGGTATCGATACAGTTTTAGAATCTGTCCGCACAGAGAATCCTCATTTTTTATGTTAGTCCAGCACTTTTTGGGTTTCACCAATATTCTAAAATCTTAAAAGGGATTATTTT